CCTTACTTCCAGAAAAGGGCGCAGCTGGTGTATTAGCCGAAGCTGATAGCAGGCGTTCCTGACTGTATTGTGCCTAGAAACATACTGATAGCCAGTGAAGATGTTTTAATGGGAAAGTTATATGTTCTCTATAAACAGCCCCAACCAGCCTCCTGGCTGCGGCATTGTGGACTGTTTCAGTACCACACAGAGCAGGGGTTGGCAACCTTTCCCCTTTAAGGGCCGAGGGACTTCAGCTCCCAGAATCCCAGGAGCTATTGGCCAACATGGCTGAGGCTTCTGGGAGCTGAAGTCCCTCAGCCCTTAAAGGGGAAAGGTTGCCTACCCCTGACATAGAGTAATTCAAATCAAGAGATGTGTCAGTGTGATAGCTGGAATGTCAGCTACAGGAATGGGCACAGCTGGCACACAAGCTTTAACTGTGCAAATACATTTCTGGCCACCAGTGAGACCTAGACCTACAGACTCAGGCCTGTGTCCAAAAGTATGCCTACAAACTACAAACCTGAAATTTCAGAGCGAGTATAATCCCATTCAGCACAGGGTGAATCTGTTCTCTGATCTGCCTTTTGATTAACCAGGAGGATCTCTGTCTTGTCTGCCCTCAATTTGTTTGCCCTCATCTAGTTCAATACCATCAGTAGACACCAATTTAGCACCAAGGCAGCTTCCTTGAAATTAGATACAAAGAATATATAGAGATGTATGCCATCAGCTACACCTGACCCAAAACTTTGATTAACCTCTCCCAGTGATTTTATGTAGACGTTGTATAGCAAAATGGGGCAAAACTGAGCCCTAAGGATGCCAGAAGGGCAACAGTCATAGGGATGAAAAGAAGTCCTCCGGCATCACTTTTTGACTTCACTACTCCGAGGAGGACTGGTACCACTGTAAAACAATGTCCCCAAGTTCCATCCCAGAGACATGATTCAAAAGGACATCAGGGTTGTTGGTATTGAAAGCCACTGTGTTGTCCAGTATTACGCACAGGAACATATACTACCTGTCCAGCTATGAACATATATCATCCATGAAAGTGACGAAAGTTGCCTCCATCCCATAACAAAGCCTGATGCTGGACTGAACTGGATATAGGTGAACTATTTCATCCAGGAACCCCTAGAACTGGAAGGCCACATGTTTTCCTATTTTGCTCTCAAACTGGCCAATAGTTATCTAGTTCAGGTAGGTTTTGGAGTTGTTTTTTTAGCAAATGACTCACCACTTCTTTTCAGCAGGATGAAATACTGATTTGCTGCAGTGAGGCATTCACCTCTCTCCTTACCCACTCAGCCAGTTCCCCTCTGGATGCTTTCCACCCATGATCAGGTTCTGGATGAATGTTGGTTTTTTCCCCCATTTACCAACACAGCATTCAACAGCATTTCCAACCCAGGAGGTCTGCCAAGGCTATCAAGACTATTTGATGTGTGGGACAGTTTGGAGGCAACCAACGCCATCTGCCTCTTCCTTCTCCCACATTGATAGCACAGTCTCTCCACTCTGTACCTCCTTTCCCCCATTATCATTTCAATGCTTGCTCCTTTACTCTCCAAACTGCTCATCATATAGCTATTTCTGACAAAACAGATTTTTTGAAAAGGCCTCTTCTGTGCAAATGTTTCCTACTACTTCTCTTGCCCCCCCTGTACACCATCCTGTGGTCTTATGGTATAGGGCAGGGGTAGGCAACCTTTCCCCTTTAAGGGCCGAGGGACTTCAGCTCCCAGAAGCCTCAGCCATGTTGGCCAATAGTCCTATGTTGGCCAATAGCTTCTGGGATTCTGGGAGTTGAAGTCCCTCGGCCCTTAAAGGGGAAAGGTTGCCTACCCCTGGTATAGGGCATGATATAAATAAATATGTTTAATTGTGAAGCTGGAAAGGTATTGCTAGAGGGAAAAAAATAATGTAGCCTAGGGGGGGAAAAACCAAAAAGCAATTCTCCTACCTTGGTAAATACTGATTAAAACCCAGATGAGGAAGGTTTTAAATGACAATGATCTTCCCTACAAACAATAAGAAAGGATACACAATTATTTTAGAAAAAGCTGTTCATACACAAAGAAGGGTGCATATGATGGCAATTTCAGTATATAAACATTGTTAAAAAGATTTATGCAACAATAAATGTGCTAGTCTTTAGGGTGCCATGATAATTGTATTTCTCTCCAAAATGCTTCCATGGGGTTAGATCTAAACAAAATAAATGTGCTAGTCTTTAGGGTGCCATGATAATTGTACTTCTCTTCAAAATGCTTTCATGGGGTTAGATCTAAACAAAATCAAATGTACTTAACTGCTACTAATTTCACTGGAAGTCAAGCCTGACTAACATCTCATTGATTTCAGTGGGACTTAACATCAGGTAAGTTACAGAAAAGTCCTATACATGTATACTTAGAAACCCCAATTTCCAGTTCTTTTGGTGGGCAGAGAAAATACCTTGAATCTAGTGAACCAATTTTTCTAGAAATCTAAGGTGAATAATAATGACACTCTCTATACTGATAAGAAGGAGCCAGAGTGGTGTAGTGGTTTGAGCACTGGACTATGACTCTGGAGAACAGAGTTCTAATCCCCACTCAGTCATGAAACCCAGTGGGTGACGCTGGGTAAGGCACACTGTCTCAGTCTCAGAGGATGACAATGGCAAACTCCCTATGAAGAAACTTGCCAAGAAAATCTTGTGATAGGTATGCCTTAAGGTTGTCATAAGTCAGAACTGATTTGAAGGAACACAACAACAAACAACAACTTACTGATAAAAACAAAGTTCAAGGTTTACGATATTTTGTCTACATCCTGTATGTTTCATATTGAATATTCCTACCTTAGTAAGATCTTTGTAAAGTTCTGGATATAACAGTGCCATTTCTGGTTTCACATCTTGATCCAACACTAAGGAAAAGACTGGAAACATAGTGTATATAGTTGCATACCTATAAGGAAAAAGTACCTTTTAATGTACATGACATTAAACACACACACAGGTTGAGCACCCCTTTTCTGGTAATTCAAAATCTAAAGTACTCCAAAACTGTCCACATGGGTGGCTGAGATAGCGACACCTTTGCTTTCTGATGTTCAATATACACACACTTTGTTCCATGCACAAAATTATTAAATACAATTTGCATAAAATTACCTTCAGGCTATGTGTATAAAGTTTACATGAAACACAAATGAATTTCATGTTTAGACTTAGGTCTTATCTCTAAAATATCTCATCATAGGCAGTTTGCCATTTCTGTAATGCGCTCTACATGGGGCTACCCTCATGCTTGGTCCAGAAACATCAATTAGTTCAGAATATGGCAGCCAGGTTGGTCTCGGGTACATCTAAGAGAGCATATGACACCTGTACTGAAGGCTCTTCACTGGCTGCCTATTAGTTTCCGAACCCAGTATGAGGTGTTGGTAATCACCTATAAAGCCCTAAATGGCTTGGGTCCAACATATCTCCGATACTGCCTCCTCCCGTATAATCCTCCCCCAAGCGCTTCGGTCCTCTGGGATGAATTTGCTACAGGTGAAAAAATCTAGACTGTAAGCAACCTCCCAGAGGACCTTTTCAATGACTGCTCCCAGACTATAGAGTGGCCTGCCGGACGAGATCTGTCATCTGACGACCTTAGACAGCTTTAAAAGGGCTGTCAAGATGGATCTCTTCCAGCAGGCCTTTCCCAATTAGTCTTCCCGGTCATAAGAGCTTAACCAACTGTATTTTTACCTCCTCCATTTAACTGCCTTAACAGATGTCTCTGTTGATCTGCTATTGATTTGTTATTGTAAATTGCTGGCATCGACGTAAATTTTAAATTCTGTTTTGACTGAGGATTGTTTAATAATTTTTTAAGGAGTGGGAGAGTTGGGTTGGGATTGATTTTTATTGTATTGTATTTTATGTTGGAAGCTGCCCCAATTGCTATGCAGAGGGGCAGGGTACAAATAAATTTTATTGTTTATTATTATTTTATCATCATCATCATCATCATCATCATATATATATGCAAGTATTCCAAAATCCTGCCAAAAATCCAAAATACAATTCTAGTGTTATTAGAAGCTGCAGTTTGCAATGCTCTTACTTTAGGTATTTTTCTTTTCATCAAAAAACATACATCTCCTATACCAGCATGGGCAATTGGCAGGAGACGGGGGCTGCATTGGTATGCCATGGAACCCACCCTGAATTTTTTATATTTTCTGATTAAAACAACTCAAAATCATTCCCTGGCCTTGTTACATGATTTTTACATCCCTGATTTTTCCTTTTTTTTTTTTTATATTAAAAGTGAGTACTCTTTCTCCTCTGCATCTTCCTCCTCTTCCTTCCCTATAGCCAGTAGAGGAAGAGAGTGTTCCCTCCCTCCCTCCTTCCTGCTGGGTGCAGCAAAGCAAGTGAACAAATAAGCACTCCTTCCTGGCATTCTTTCACTGCCACCTTCTCTGAAGTCAAAGGAACAAACACTGCCAATAAAAGCTGGTAATTTCCTGAATGCCTAGTTTTGTGGGTCTTTGAAGCAGGCTGTGTGGAAGGGGGAAAGGGGGACTACAGAAACTGTCTGTGTTGTGTCCTTGGTTGCCTATATCTCCTCCCAAACTCCCAGGCTCTGAAGACCCACTGAAGGAGGCATTCAGGAAGAAGCAAGCTGGTAGGGTATCTTTGCAGGTGGCATAGGGTGGAGAAAGAGGAGGCAAAGAAAAGGATGGAAAGAGAGGGCAAGGGAGAGCTTGTTTGCTCTGTTGCTGATGAAGGAAGATGAGAAGGGAATGAAGGTGGGAATTCTCAATGGCAGCACCTCATTAAAGATGTCATTTGGAAACGGAGGAAGAACGGAATGGAGCAATGCTCCTTGGCAGGCAATCTAGCCAAAGTTTGCCACTAAGCATTGCTACCAAACAGAATCACCACATGAGTGGCTTGTTAAATTTATTTGATGTTGAGGGCTTGGGGGCTCCCAACCCCACCCCCCAAAAGGGACAGGGATGAATGATATCCATGGTTCCCACTTTCCTCATGTCTGTCCTATATTTACACTAACTCAGTATATTTAGTGGGAAGGAATCCAGTGAAAACTGGGCTGGTGCACATGGATTCAGTGAACATAAACTGAACACCACACATTTATCTGAAGCAAATGTATGAAATGTTTGTGACAGTTTTGCCGTGTTTTATTTAAAATTAATATTCCACTGAGGGACATGCTTAATGTACAGATTCCACTGGATACTAAATGAATGTTACACTTCAGTTCATTAACCTGAACTATAGGAGGAATGTAGTGCCTATTAGACATCATCACAGATTTTTGAAACTCCAAAACCAGAACACAGCTACTTACCCTACCATTAAGAAACCCTGGTATAGAGGAACAGATGCAAAATAGAAGACTGAAGAAAACACAGCCTAGAAAAAGAAGAAAGTCTGGATGATTACTACTAATATACAACTCTAGAAATAATTTAAATATATAGAACAAAACATTCTATATACTATTCTTCATGTAAGCAAAATGAATTAAATACCTGCATAGTTGAAATAATAAGGCCTCTGTGCATGACAAATTGGCCAAGTGCTGCTGATCTTTTATAACTATTTCGACCATGTACCATCAGCAGTCTGCCAATGTGCTTAAACTGTGTAATGGAAAAATCAGCAGCCAAGGAAGCTTGTTTTCCTTCCTAAATAATAAAATGATAAATTGAAAGTATCAGCAGTTTATAAAGTATCAGTTTATCAGCATATTAAACAATCAGCATCATCAAACACATTAGCAAAACACACTGAAGCAATGAATTTTTATACCCAACCATCAATTTTTCTATTACAAAAACAATTAATAAAGCAGACATACATTTGCTATATGTGTACTTTTTTAACATATATTGTTATTTATTTTTGTTTCAGTTTTAAATATATCCATACATTTCAAATAAGGGGGAAAATATACAAATCATAAGACAGTTAACCAAAAGAACACTACCATCCCTGGTCAAAGTTGACAGCAAAAATTACAAATATAATAGAGAAGTTAACTGGGGTTATCCATGACACAAAGCCCTTGTTATAGGGGTACTGTCACAATCAGTCTATGATATCTTTTCATAGAGATTCATGTTCTTTTTAAGTTGTATCCAATTAGTATTTCCCATCAGCTTCTCTTAGTAGCTTCCATCAATGAAATGGGAGGTCGTGGACCCCTGCGCAGTTCCGTGCACCACCCGATCTCCTCTGGGGGATTAGGAAATTTTCTGGAGAAGAGATGGGGAGGTGTGGACAGAGGTCTGCATGGGAGCTGAAGAAATAAAAGTTCTGCTTTATGAATGGAAATATCCTCAAGTGGTATTGGATCGCTTCCCACTGCCTACCACTTCAACTCATAGATTCCAACACATTATTAAGTGCACATTTGATCTAATAGGCAAACATTATACCTTTCCTTCAATTCCAATTCCACAGTCTGCAGCCTGGATCATACTAACATCATTTCCTCCATCACCTGAAAGAATGTGAAATATCCAGTTACGTTTTAGAGTGGCATGACAAGCTTCTATACTGTTCAGCTTCACTATGAACTAACTGAATAAGCTATATACATTAGAAGCTACAGCAAAAATAACTTCAATGTTTCATTTTGGGGGGGGGGGGAAAGAAATCCATTACATATTCTCTCTCTCTGACTTCAGCAACTTATGATCTCCCATAGGTAAAAAGAAATTGAGAAAATCTATCCAGACATGAGGTGATCCTTTTGTTAATGACTTCAAAAACACTACTTGCATAATTCTGAAAAAGGCAGGAAATTCTTATTGAACATTCAAGGGCCACAGTGTAGGCAGGCTTCAATTAGTCTGCTTACTGCATGAGTGAGATCAAAGTCTGTTATACTGCCATTTTGGAGAAAATCATTACCAGCTGACACTGTCTCTGGGCAGATCCAAGCAACACAGTTTTGCCCCTCTGAACTGTATTGTCTGGTGTACACTAGGTGACTCAATCATAACAGAATCTGAGTTAAGACACGTGGACAACATAAGTTAAGAAATATATTATTTCCTTGTGTGTTTCAGCTGGGCATGGGGCACAGTGGATTTGCTTCCTACAGAGGAGTAAAGGATGTACTGGATAGTTTCAAATGCCAGTTAGTGATTGTTCCCTAAAAATTTTTGAAAAATTAAAATTAAGCCTTACCTCAATTATCATCATTGAAATGTTCCTGTCATACTATCCTTTAATTCTACTTTGAATTTATTTTTTGTTATTGTGATCAACCTCTTACTTTACTAGTCTGTCAATAAGAATGACCACTCTCTGATTAGTTTGCCAACAGAAATGAAACTGCAGTTGATACTTGCCTATTGCACATGTACGTTTTCCTGTATGGTGTTGCAACAATTTTACAATGTGGGCTTTTTGGGTGGGAGAGCATCGACAGCATACGACAGCTGGGCACTGACATGCTAGTTCTACAAATTCATGTTCATAGTACTTCAAACAGACCTACAAAAGAAACACATTTAGACTGAAATTGGTGGTTTTAGTACTCAACAGAAGTCCAATAGTATTTTTAGTTTCAACATTCAGC